ACGATCCCTGCTTGCACGTCGCACGCTAGCTAGACCAGAAACAATACCGCCATCATTCCGTGCCAGCAAGCACGAGGAATGCGCCAGCAAGAAACAGTGAAATACAAGTCCACATTGCAACGTGCGCGATGGAGATCACGGGGACGTGCGGCACAGTAGGCAGGTGCAATGAGCGATCGAGCAAGCCGTGGCCATCGGGCCATGCATGCATGGCCACGCACAGTGGGCGGGAAAATGATGGCGCCATGATCGCGCCGCGGCGCATTCATGCCCAGGGCGGAACAAATTCGTCAATGACAGTCGACAGCCTGACGGCGATGGTCATTAAGACCGGCCGGCCCGGCGTTGACGAGTTGCGCTTCTCCGATCCCCCCTCTCTCTCCCCCGTGGTTCATTTTCTCTGAGACAGTGTACTCCCTCTGTAAAGTAGTGATCTGAATGCTTTATACGTACTTGTTTCTTCTTTCTTTCTTTTCGAAACGGTACTTGTTTCTTCTTCTGATGTACAGGAAAAGGAGACACCAACAGTTTCTAGCTTAGTACTGGTAGCGCTACTAGCAAATCACTAGCAGTACTCATCGTGAAAATCACCAGAAGTGATTGTTTGGTGCAGTTTCTTTTAACGGATCAATTTAATTGCATTCATCGCGAAATTGAGAAGACTGACGCCTGTCCGGTCTATGGTGGGAAGATGTCCCACCCAATCGCTAGCGCCTTTCTGGCTTCGATAAACCCGAAAGTACGTACGACGTGACTATTGATAAATCCGTCTTTCAGATAAACACCACTTCGTTTCCGTGCTGAAAACTCTTGTTTTGACCTTAATTGGTTAGGCGCAAAAAAAAAAAAAAACTTAAGTCGTTAACTTCTTGAAGACATTGTCTCCTTGTGGATGTGCCAACCTTCGGTGGCCGATCTTGACAATCAGGATGAAAATCTTTGTCTTGGCCGTCTTTGGGCGGATTGGCGATGGCGGCATGAGGGTGCTTATTCCTTATTGAAGACGTTGTTGTGAAAGAAGTTGATTTAGTCATAGATGTTTTTCATGTCATGTAATGGTTCAAATATGGTTGCATTTGTTTTATAATAATGACTACGTGCATTACAATGATACAGAGACGGAGGGTTTAACCTCCTTTAAAAAAAAGAATGAAATTGATAAAAACACTAGTGTCAGTCACCCCATGGTCCAAGCCCACCGCACACAAGCTAAAACAGAACCAGAAACAAAACATCAAGACCATGGCCAAACTTGTGAAAGGAAACGGCGACACAATGCCTAGCAACACACCTCAAACATACCCCAAGCGAGACTTCTAACAACATGACACAAGAACAGAAAAAATGTTAACAAAATGAATCTAGACGAGAGACCATGGAGGCGTCCTAGAAACATCACACAACGATTTGCCCATCCTCTCTTCCTGCTAAGAACTTCAACCGCCACCTACAGCAGCACTTTTGCTCCTTCGGCCTGCAGCACGCCTAGCCCTATCAATCGGATCATTGCATTTTTTTCTTCCTTTTTTTGAAAAGATCATTTTTATCTTTATCTATCCATTTATTTATTTATATGTATTTGTGCATATCTTAATTCCCACAGTCAAATCCCACTTCTTTTCATGTCACGTCGACTAGTCGGTCGGATCCATTTCAATATATGAGTAACTATCAATATCTAATGTGAAAGCGAGTTGGTCCAAAATCTGAGATGCACCAAACGTATGACACACATAAAGCTTTCTATTGAGCGTTACGAGAGAAAAAAAAAACATGTAATTGCCTTTTCAAGATTTTGAAAGAATATGTTAGAAAAACAGGACATAATTAAGCAAAAAAGAATGAGAAAATTCTAGAAGATAAGATGTAAAGTAGGCACAATTCTCTAAATGGGAAAAGGCTTGAAAGGAAACACGAGATCGACTATTTCATCTGTATCAAAGCAATAAAAAGTAGTTATCTAAACGCTCTTATATTTCTTTACAAAGAAAGCATAAAAAAACCAGAACCCCAAACCTAAAGGATAAAGACCACACATCCATGAAAAAAGGAGTAGCTATTACTAGTAGAGATATTCTCGCAAAAAAAAAAACTAGTAGAGAAGAGGGATGTTCTTCAATATACATCACCGTTGCATGGCTAAGCATAAGATGTACAGGCAGTATAGATCACCGCCTTACCTCTTGCAGTAAGAAGTTGATTGGCTAATTAAACTCAGATACTAGCATAATTGAGACGATAATCTTCTGAACACTTCTGAAATTTCTGGAATTTGCAAGTGACAAACATACCATACTTTATTAGCATATACTTCTTGTTCCTTGAAAAAAAGCATATATTTCTTGCACTAGCTTGGCGAGGATTGTTAGCATGAGCCCTTTGTTCTTTCAGTATCGTTTCTGTTTTTGTAAGGAAATGGTTTCAAGCATATTAAACCTAACCAATGGTACAAAACAAAACAAACCTTTCCAAAAAATCAGAAAACGTTATGAGTAGTAAATCAACATATAGCTAGGTACTTGCAATGGCTTCTTTGTCCAAAGATGACCAAGGTTGAAAATGACTCAAGCTCCAGCCGCCATTCTCTGAAGCTTTTCTAAATGCAACTTCAAGCTTATAACCTTCATCATAGACCCCACAGGCTACTCACATAAGTACCTTTTTTTTACATGAATATAACTGCTGGGATTAACACGTACAAATCCCAATCTTGAGTAGCGATTAGCATAGGACAATGACTGATTCGACTAAGTAGGAGATATATAGAATTTTCTGCAGAACTATTGGAATTATTGGTGGTCACCTTACCATCTGCAGTAAAAGATTGGCTGGCTTAGAGCATCTCTAGCCGATTCCCTAAAAAGCTACTCTCTTCATCCGGAATAACTTGTATCTATTTCTGCGATAAGTAATTCCTGACGGAGAGGGTATAAGGGAATAAATTTTCTGATTTACTCCACTAAACCGGACCTAGCTGAAGTACTAAATCCTATAAGGGAGTAAACATTTTACTCCTCTACCGAAATCCCCCCCCCCCTACGGTGCCTAAAAATACCTTCCCCCGTGCTGCCGAGTAAACTTTCCTCTCCGCTCCTTCTTTCGCTCCCGCGGTGCCATTCTTCCAGCCGTAGCCTCCCCACCCACCGCAATCACCACCGATGACCGTTGCCATTGTCGGAATGGGTGGCCAAGACCCTACCACCACCCCGCTGGCCAGTGTCATCGGCGCGTCGCCGCCGGAAACCACCCCCGCTCCGCCGCCTGCACAGAGAAAAGATTGGGGATCCACAATCTTCTTCGGCCCACCAAACCGGCTGCCACTGAAGGTAACAAGGCCCGCGGGGTGGCCACTGCCTCTCGAGCGACAGTAGGCCACCCTCCTCCTGCTCTCGCCGACGAAAGCGAGCTAGGAAACTGACGACCGCGGTGTTGGCCCTCACCGAGGAGGACACGAAGAAGAACAAGAAGAAGGCCACTCGGACCATCGTCCTCGTTCGGTGACACGTGCGGCGTCTCCGGCCACCCTTACTGCCATTGCTCTGACGCGTCCGGCCGCTGCAGCCGGCAAAACGAGCCGTGGGCGCCAAGTGCTTGGGGAAATGCCTACTAGGTAAAAAAAAACCATTGCGGCTGATGCTTATTGCGGTGATTGTGGTGATGTTGGCGGTGAGGATGATTGGCATGTGTATGGTGGTGGTGGTGGTGTGGTGAGGACGGTGTTTGAGTTCGTGCTCACGCATGCCATTGGTTGGCCTCGATCCACAACATAAAACATGGTATGTTGTGGTGATTTTGGATCAAAGTTGGTGGGTGTAGTGATACTTTTTGGTTGAACTATGCATGTTTTAATTCCAGTTTCTCGATACGTGAAAATGCTTGCTAAAGGTTTATATTTATGCATGTTTATCTTCAAAAATTTGAATGCTTAGTGATATATTGTGTTCGGGATTCATGTCGTTGGGCTAAAAAAATTATGCAATTTTTTTACTCCGCTAAATTTAATGGATCAGGTAGGTCTGGCCACCGTCAGTGGAGCAAAACTTTATTCCACTAACTTTACTCAGCGGTTTACTCCTCTATTTTTTAAAGGATCACCCAGAGATGCTCTTGAAAAGCAAGCGCAACTGTCATGATCATCCTATCCTCTCAGCACTTCTCACAAGTACTTCTTATTAAAGACGTCAAGTTCCATCTAGAACGTGAGATTATCATCCTTAGGTTTGCAAGCGATAAACATAGGCATACATCACACATTATCTGCGTCCATCTCTTGCACCCGGCGAGGATTTTTTTAGCATGGACAGCTCAGCGGGGCTCCCCGATCACGCAGCCCATTTCTATTTTTGAAGAAGGAAATGAACCCGGGCATATCATCCTTGTGGTTCTCCAAGCAAGCGCTGCAAAAGTGTACATCCTTTTCCATTCTACGGAGTACATTGTACCACCACGCCACGGCATGCAATTCGCGGAATTATTGGCCCATGTACGATTATGTCCAGCGTTTTTAGGACCCGTAGGTATCTTGCCTGGCTACACAAGGGCATTTTCCCAGTGTTGGCAAATGGACCCGTGTACGTCGTCCACATGGAGGTAACTTGCAAGCAATGCTGGCAATGAGCCTTTGATTGTCAAAAGATGACCGTGGCTGAAAATGACCTTCATCTTTTGCCCATCGTTCTGAAGGCTCTGACCGAGCTAAGTTTTCTGGAAGTGTAACATGATGGAGTTTCAAGATTTTTTGTGTCATCCATGCCATTGGTGCTCGGTCCAACGGCCCAGATCAATCGAATGCAGCGTCACTGGTGCACGGCACGGTGCAGCGCGCGGAATATTCAGGCTGTACTTGCACCAACCCAGCTTGCTGTGCGCCTATATATAGAGGGCAAAGAGCACGGCTCGTATCACTGGACTCGGAGAGCTCTCGCGCCTACTCGATCGGACCTTCTTGCCCTGCTTTCTCCTCTGTTTCCTCGAGACCAAGGAAGAAGAAGAAGCCGGCCATGGTGGTCCTTGCCAAGGGCGAGCTGGAGCAGATAGCGCTGCCGGCGGCGCAGCCGCCGCTGGCCCACGTGCGGGCGGTCGACCTGTCCGCCGCGCCGGGGCCCGGGCGCGCGGCCGCGGCGCGCGCGCTGGTGACCGCGTGCGAGGAGCAGGGCTTCTGCAAGGTGACCGGCCACGGGGTGCCGCCGGAGCTCGTGCGCGCCGTGGAGGCGGCCGCGGCGGAGTTCTTCGCGCTGCCGCAGGCCGACAAGGAGGCCGCCGCGGGGCGGCCGCTCGGGTACGGCAGCAAGCGCATCGGCGTCTCCGGCGACCTCGGGTGGATCGAGTACCTCATGCTGGGCGTCACCCCCGCCGGCGCGCTGCCCGCCGCCTCCTTCGCGTCCTGGACATTGCCGTGCGCTGCCGACGCCGTCGCGGCGTCGCTGTCCGAGCCCCCCTGCCCCTTACGGTGAGTTCGTCCGTTCGCCGCCCATGCACGCTGGTCGTTTACATTCGCGCTCCGCGTTTGCACCGGCAGGCGGCACCGCCTCCCGCCGCTGACGAACACATGCACATGCACATGCACATGCACATGCACATGCCACGCCACGTTTCTTTCCCGCCCTATCATGATCTGCTCAGCTCAAAATGCGTGCTCGAACCGTCCAATCACTGTCAGTTGTTGGAGAGCATTACCTGAACTCCTAAAGCGTACCAAAGGTGAATCTTAGCTAGCAACACTAGTCAATTTAGCGTCAATGACCTTAACACGAAGCTGTAGGATTTTTTTTTGGTGGAATAGTTTTGTAGTTCCTGAAATTCCTGAAAAGCAAAATTTTGAAAATACAAGGAGGATTTCCGTGGATAAGATTGGCCTTTCGTGGCCGCGTGGAGCTTCACTATTTATCGCGGCCGACGTACGGAGGCGGCGAATCTTTACCGTTTGACTCACGTGCGGCGGCGACGTAACGGTCGGCCCGTTCCTTTCGATCACTCTCTACTTGCCGTGCTGCCCCGTTCGCACGTGTCGGCGTCGCCGCGCACCCGTGTCGACGCGCCGCCCGTCCGTCCAGCTACGTACGCACGCACGCACGCTGCCTTTCCGCCGCTCCGGTTCCGGTGACGTGCTGCCGTTTACACTCCACACTGCCGCTGCCGCTGCCGCTGCCGCGCCCCATCCCTATCCGCATCTCTTTTGACATCATCCATTAATCGGAGTCGCAGAAAAATGGTATATGGAGTGACATTTTGATGGTCCATTTTTTGTTGTCAGGGATCTTCTGGAGGAGTACGCGGCGGCGGTGCGGCGGATGGCGTGCGGCGTGCTGGAGCTGATGGCGGAGGGGCTGGGGGTCGCGCCGGCGGACGCGCTGTCGCGGCTGGTGTCGGACGCGGAGAGCGACAGCATGCTCCGGGTGAACCACTACCCGCCGCGGCCGGAGCTGCAGGGCCGCCTCCTGACGGGGTTCGGCGAGCACACGGACCCGCAGATCATCTCCTTGCTCCGCTCCAACGGCACCTCCGGGCTGGAGATCTGCGCGCGCGACGGCTCCTGGGCCGCCGTCCCGCCCGACCCCGACGCCTTCTTCGTCAACGTCGCCGACGCCCTGCAGGTACGCACACGCCCCGCTCTGCTCTGCTACCTACACTACACGGCAGGAGTACTTTTTTCATAGGGACGGACGTACGTGGTACGGTGCATGCAATGCGACGCTGCTACTGTTGCACGTCACTTTTACTGTGTGCGTGTCAAAGTCGATCGGATCTCCGGGCGGGCAAATCAGATCGAGTCAATGATGACCAGTGCCCGGTCTCGGGCCTTCTCCCGAGTGTCCACATCAAATAAGCGCAGCGGCAGCAGTGCAGCACGAGGCTACATATATAGTGCTGCGGTACTGTATATACGTGCATGCGTACAGTTACACCCAGCGCGCGATCGTGCACAGGGCCCGCCCCCTTGTGCCGTGCACGTGAAAACACTGGCACGACGCATGCTAATAATGCATGCATGCATGCATGCATGCATGAGTTAATGAGAGCAAGTTTTCCCTCGCTGTGCTCCTGCTGAATTTATTTGAGACTAGTTTCAGTTTCAGGTGCAACGCATCGTATTAATTGGGTCGGTCCTGGGGACGTGCAGGTGTTGACGAACGGGAGGTTCAGGAGCGTGAGGCACAGGGTGGTGGTGAGCAGCGAGAGGCCGAGGGTGTCCATGATCTTCTTCGGCGGCCCGCCGATGGGCGAGAGGCTGGCGCCGCTGCGACAGCTGCTAGGGGACGGCGGCCGGAGCCGGTACCGGGACTTCACCTGGAAGGAGTACAAGAGCAGCACCCACAAGGGCAGGCTCGCGGCCGACCGCCTCTGCAGCTTCGAGAACTAGCTAGCGATCGACCAGCTGTCTGACAGACTAGCTTCCGTGCGTTACGTATATATACTGCAGGCTATATACTTATGTGTTTTTTCTTTCTTTTGAGAAGAGCCTTATACTGCAGGCTATATACTTGTGTGTGTGTGTGATGCATGCATGGCCATGGTCCTAGTTAACTACTCCCTCCGTTGTTAAATATTTGTTTTTTTAGAGATTTCAAATGAACTACCACATACAGATGTAGCTCAGATGTTGTTTTAGAGATTTCAACAAGTGTCTACATACGCAGCTTAAGGAAAAGCTATTAGAAAAGCCGGTGTGTCTAGCTCTTATCTAGATGAGAAGTAACAATATTTCCGATAATTCATCCTGGAGCCCGGGCTCAGCTGCTCCCGGTCAGAAAAAAAATTCAAAACAAATACTAGAAAAATTCAAAAAATCTAATTTTTTTGTGTGGTAGATAATTTGATGCGTGAGGCCTGCTTCAAATTTCAATTCATTTGGATATCTGAGTAGGTCTCGGCAAAAAAGACAAATCGGGTCAAAACAGCTCATGAACAGTAAACTTTTTTACAGACCCTGATTTTGTCTTTTTTGCACAGACTTGCTCAAATGTCCAAACGAGTTGAATTTTTCAACGAACCTCACGCATCTAATTATCTATCACACACAAAAAATTTGGAATTTTTTAAATTTTTTTTGTATTTGTTTTGATTTTTTCCGCGAGCAAGGGTGCAGCTGAGCCCGGGTGCAGATTCGCCGCACTCCAATATTTCATTTAACTCCTACACCGCTGGATTTTACGTGGAGATTCATGAATTTCTTTCTTTCGTTTGTTAATCAAATAATGTAGGAGTTAGATGAGACTTTGCTAATCCTCATCTAGATGAGAGTTAGCAAATCCGTAGAAAAGTAGATGCAGAAAAGAACAGAAGTTGGAGCACTTAATCGGAGCAACTAGACGAAACTGGTGCTCTAACTCCGTGAGCGCAAGCATCGGTTATGAAAAGTTTATCAGGCCACCAAAAATAAACGATGTCAGCACTATTACTATATATGCAAAAGTTATCAAAAAAAAATTAAAAATCACATTACTTATAAACGGCACATCAAAATTGTAATATGTTTTCATTGTTGTGTTCCTCGTTATGAGACCTTTAAAACTAAATCTCACATGAACATGTTTCGAGAATACTTCTGAAAATGAACTTACGGTGACGAAAAACGAATTCATGATATAAATTTGCTTTTCCCTCACAATCCAATAACTTGACCAATTTTACGACCGGAGTTCTCAAATCAAGTTCTTTCAAGTAGAAAATCGCTAACACATTGGTAAAGGCATTTTTATACATTTTTAGCTAGAGTTGATACATCTAAAAAATAGTTTGTAACACAAACTTGCATTTGTCACACTCCTTCCGTTCTGAAATATAAGTATTTTTAGAGATTTCAAATATGGACTTCATACAGAGCAAAATGAGTGAATCTATACTTTAAATTACATATGTAGACATCCGCATGTAGTCCATATTAAAATCTCTAGATAGACTTATATTTAGGAATAGAGGGAGTACTAATTCGCTTTTGAGAAACTACTATATGCAATAAAAATTGCACGGTGGCTATTTAATGATATGGAAGGAACTATATTCAAGGAACTTCCTTTTTACCGCCTAACATGTGTTAGGCTTATCGGTTTGTGATGGAAAGTATGTTTGTACCATAAACTTG